CTCCTTGGGTTTATCCTGTATGGGACTGTCTGCGCTTCCTGGACTTGGGTGGCTATTTCCCTTCCCATGTTAGGGAAGTTTTCGATTATAATCTCTTTCAATATTGTCTCGGGTACTTTCTCTCTCTCTCTTCCTTCTGGGACCCCTGTAATGCGAATGTTTTTTGCATTTAATTTTGTCCCAGAAGTCTCTTAGGCTGTCTTCATTTCTTTTCATTCTTCTCTCTTTATTCTGTTCCACAGCAGTTAATTCCACCATTCTGTCTTCCAGGTCACTTATCCATTCCTCTGCCTCAGTTATTCTGCTATTGATTCCTTCTAGTCTGTTTTTCATTTCAGTTATTGTATTACTCATCTATGTTTGTTTGTTCTTTAATTCTTCTAGGTCTTTGTTAAACATTTCTTGCATCTTCTCAGTCTTTGCCTCCATTCTTTTTCCAAGGTCCTGGATGATCTTCACTATCATTATTCTGAATTCTTTTTCTGGAAGGTTGCCTATCTCCACTTCATTTAGTTGTTTTTCTGGGGTTTTATCTTGTTCCTTCCTCTGGTACATAGCCCTCTGCCTTTTCATCTTGTCTATCTTTCTGTGAATGTGGTGTTTGTTCCACAGGCTGCAGGATTGTAGTTCTTCTTGCTTCTGCTGTCTGCCCTCTTGTGGATGAGGCTAAGAGGCTTGTGCAAGTTTCCTAATGGGAGGGACTGATGGTGGGTAGAGCTGGCTGTTGCTCTGGTGGGCAGAGCTCAGTAAAACTTTAATCCGATTGTCTGCTGATGGGTGGGGCTGGGTTCCCTTCTTGTTGGTTGTTTTACCTGAGGCAACCCAACACTGGAGCTTACCTGGGCTCTTTTGTGGGGCTAATGGCAGACTCTGGGAGGGCTCACACCAAGTAGTACTTCCCAGAACTTCTGCTGCCAGTGTTCTTGTCCCCACAGTGAGACACAGCCACCCCCCCACCTCTGCAGGAGACTCTCTAACACTAGCAGATAGGTCTTGTTCAGTGTCCTATGGGGTCACTGCTCCTTCCCCTGGGTCCCGATGCGCACACTGATTGCTGTGTGCCCTCCAAGAGTGGAGTCTCAGTTTTCCCCAGTCCTGTCAAAGTCCTGCAATCAAATCCCACTAGGCTTCACAGTCTAATTCTCTAGGAATTCCTCCTCCTGTTGCTGGACCCTCACGTTGGGAAGCCTGATGTGGGGCTCAGAACCTTCACTCCAGTGGGTGGACTTCTGTGGTATAAGTGTTCTCCAGTTCGTGAGTCACCCACCCAGCAGTTATGGGATTTGATCTCATTGTGATTGTGCCCATCCTATCATCTCACTGTGGCTTCTCCTTTGTCTTTGGATGTAGGGTATCTTTTTTGGTTAGTTCCAGTGTTTTCCTGTTGATGACTGCTCAGCAGTTAGTTGTGATTCTGGTGCTCTCACAAGAGGGAGTGAGAGCACGTCCTTCTACTCTGCCATCTTGAATCAATCAATCTCACAATGATTAATTTTTTACAAGTTAGACTTTGATGTTTTAGTTAGTGCTTTTCCAACACATCTCTAGTCCCTTGATATACTCAACTAATTAAGCAGTGATGTAGACTTTGCATGAAGTACTTTTTAATTAGCCACAGTGATTCCAAAATTATTCAGCCTGAGCTCAGGACCCTTAATATTCAAACTGACAATCCAGAGCATGTAAACTCTTTATTTAAACAATGACATCTGAAATTAAGCTCAATAAAGGTTTCTATGGAAACTAACTGCAATATCAAAACTTTGCAAAACACCAAAATGACCCAATTAGAAGAGGTAAAAATAAATCTCAGAAAGTGTAGCTATGAATAGTATGGAAAGGTTACTTCTATTTCTTTACATTAATTTTCATAAGTGTGTCTGCATATTCATTAGAAGACTACGGAATTCATTTGATATTCAAGAATATCAAGTAGATAAGAATGATACATGAAGTGAAATTTTATGTTGATCTGCAATAAAATTGAAGCCATTTCCCTACACAGATTAAAACTGAAGAGTAAGTTTACATGAATGTATGCACACAGACATAGAATTCTAGAATTTTTGCAGCAGAAAAGATGAATAACTTTTATGAATTAGTTCCAAGTAAAGAAGTTAAATAAGCCTTCTGTCTTCCTTAGAACTAAGAACAAAGGGAAATATTTGCTGAACTTGACTCCAGAATGAAATGCAAATAAAAACATGTTTATCAAATTTTATAATCAAATAAGAAGCTCTTAAAAATAGCTTTGAGAGTCAAGCATAATATAAGAACAATTCATGAGTGTGCCAATCTTTTTTTCCTGCTATGAATGTTTACCAAGTTTAGATTTTAACCTTGACATTTGCATAAACTGTGACAAATGAAAACCCAAAGTATTATTGTACATGGCTGCAGAATTCTAACTTTTGTTTTGAAAGCTCAGGTCTCAAGATATTTTCCTGGAAATCCTTAAGTAAAGACATCGAAACATGTTTAAAAAGTAATATTCTGAACTCTACTAATGAAACACAGTATCAAAGTGACATATACAGTTGAATCATTAACAGGCATCTCAAACTTAACTCATCTGAAATTTAGCTCTTTTCCTGGAGTATTCCTCATCTGAGTCAATGGTGACACCTTCTTTTCAGTTGCTCAGACCAGAGTCATTTTTCACAATTCTATCAGCAAATCCCCTCAGCTCTCATTCAAAATATCCTCAGAATTCAAGTACCTCTCTCCATCTTGCTTGCCAAAACCACGGCCCAATCCACCACACTCTCACCTACATTATTACAGCAACCTCCTAACTGCTCTGCTTCCTTCTTCTGACTTTCCCCCTTTTGTCAAAACTTAAAAACTGCAGCAAGAGTAATTCTGTTCAGAAAAAGTAAGGCTGATCCTGTCTCTACTGTGCTCGAACTTCCCAGTGGCTTTCCATCTCTCTCAGAACAAAGCCAAAGTTTTCACAAGGGACAGTTAAGTCCTGCAAGGACCTGTTCCCCTGTGTGCGTCTCTGACTTATCACCTGCTATTCAACGTACTCACTGGCTTCAGGCAGCCTGAGCTCCTTACGGTTCTCCCACTAAGCCAGGCATGCTGGTACATCTTTTTATTTGCTATTCCTCTGCTTGGAGTGCCCTTCCCAGGTGTTTGCATGGCTCACTCTCACATCTTTAATCAAATGTCCCCTTCTCAGTGAGGCTTGCTCTGGCCATTCTCTTTCAATATGCTCTTATGATTAGTTAAATGAGAAGATATTTTGCTTAATTTATTTTTGTTCTATTTATTTCCCTGCACTGAAATGTAAGGTTATTGAAATAGTTGTTTCCCTCTTTTGTTTTCTGCTGTATTTCCATCTCCTAGAATAAAGCCTTGCATATACTAGGCGCTCAATAAATTTTGTTGAACGTTGAATCAGTGAAATATATTTCATTTAGAAAAATAATAGTCCTAACTTTTCCTTAAGTAAAATAAAACTCATTGACAACGACATAAATTAACTGATCAATACATTAGTAAGAAATGACTGAGATTCCAGAGATCAGTGGTGTACAGGTTCTATGAGGGTTACAAGAACTCCCTATCTTCAAAGATCTTACAGTTTAAGAAAACAACATTCATTAGAAAACAATAAAAGACAATCTATTACTAAATTCTAAGTCCAAAGTAGTCAAGCACTGTGGTATTTAGGAGGTGAGTGTTCTAATTCCATTGCTGCCATTAACTAAATGAACCTAAGGAAATGTTGCCCCTTTATCCTCAATGTCTTCATTTTGCAAATAAGGAGAATGCACCAGGTGGCTTATTGGTCCACTAGAATTCTTAACTTCTATTGGTCTATTATTTGAGAGAAGTCAGTAGAGATATGTGACAGAGGTGGTTAGCTGTTCAGCAACTCTTTTCCTCTTCTCCTAGCTCTTAGCCTCCCAAGAAGCCATACCAAAGAAGTTCTAAAAACCTTGATTGATTGAAAATAGATTCACACCAAGCAGTTTCCCAGTGAATTCTGCTGAATTTTATCAAGTGAGACACAAATCACTGCATTTAAATATTTTGGTATTTTTAAATAATTTTCTAATATCAAAATGTGAATGTTATTAAAAGTAGAAATAGTTTTTGTCATTATTCTTACCCTGTCTTATAAAAACTCATTGTCTTTAGTTGTTATTTATCTATATCATGCATATTATCTGTTTTGATTTGCCCAAAGAGACCACAAGTTTCTCTAGGTCAAGAGTCATGACCTTTCTGTCCTTTTTTTTTTTGGCGGGGGGGTGCTGTATTCAGTGCTTTGTATGTGCTATGTGAATGAATGGGTTCTAGACATTTCTAAATAAAATCTTCTCAGTCTAGTTATAGGAAATATGTGTCACATCACTGTGCTACAATACAAATTTGGTCATGGATAGAGTCTTTAATGATCTGGTAGTTCCTGGTGGCAGGGAGAAGGGAGGCATCCTGTGGAGTTCATCAAGCCCTGAAAGACCTTTAACAATGCGCTGCCCTTCTTTGGCATGCCTCTAGTGAGTAGTGCATGGGAAGTATCTGTCCCTTCTTGTCATTTGTGCCCATATACACCCACGTTGGTGGTGTGCCCCTAGGTGACATCTTATCTTCTGCTGACTTTTATATCAAAGCAAGTCCTAAAGAAGAAAAAGGGATCAAGCCAGTGCTGCTTACTTATGTCTGTGGTTAGCATCTCCTAAGCATGCCTGCAATACAACCTCTTCCCTCTGGCCTGAATACTAAATACCTGAATTCTCAGTTTCCTTTTCCTTTATTTATCTTTTCTTGTAACTTGTCCCACCAGAGACCAAAGCAGTCTCCATGTTTCCAGAATATAGAAACATGAATCCTTGGGACAATACACACTCTCTCCTCATTTTAGCTATTTTATAAATTAAGTTGGCAATTTAGTTCTTGTATCTCCAGCCTTGGCACTTTCTATACTTATTGAACAAACTGGAAGAGATGACCAAAATCTGAGTTGTGATGTTGTAAACATGAGTTACCTGTGCAGATTCTTTTAAAGTTGGGATTTTCCAGAATGTGTCCTGGTAGGCGGCACTGGAAGCGATGTTGCCAGAACTCAGGGAACCAGGGATTCCGCGTATTAGTGTCCAGCCTCAGCTTCAGGAAATAATCATCAAAGGACCTGACTTCTGGAGACTGCAGCTTTATCGTGATTCCCCCGTTGGCTTCCACCTCATAACCTTCAATGACTTCATCTCTGTCTGCCCAGCCATCACTAAAAGATGCAGGGATTGGGGTGGGGAAAGAGAAAGACAAAAGTCTCACAAATAGAGCTATGAGTTTTGCATGAATGAAGCAATTCAGCAAGACTTAAAGTCTATTTTAAGCCAACATTGCTATCCATCAATGACTTTTTAAAATTTTTGTGGAGAATAGAAAATTATGGAATCAAAAGGTCTTGTTTGTTTTTCACAGTAGTGAAAGTGATGATGAAGATGATGACAGTAACAATTACAAGAACTAACGTTTATTGAGCACTTACTAGTCACCAGATTCTGTACTACTCATTTTTACTGAGTCAGATGTTCAGCAAATAGCTGAGTCCTGGTGGATCCTGGATACAGATCCAGGCAGTCTGGCTCCCAAGCCCATTGCTCTTTACAACTAGACCACAAAGCCCATCGGTTGTTCTCCAAACCTGAAGAAAATAAAACCCAGGTACTCAGGACCTTCTCAATAAGAGCTAGGCAAGGTATCAAGGTTGCAGTCAAGACCATTATACGAGCTGCATTATATAGCGTAGAAAATTAATTTAGCTTAGAAACAAGACAATCACAGATTTTCTTCCTGGACATTGTTCAGATTTTCATCTCTTAGAAATGACCAGATGCTTTTTTTTTTCCTAATGTTATTTCAAAATAACAGCACTAAAAGAAAACAATCTGACTCCCCAAAATAAAAATCATCCTCCTGCTCACTAAACGGCAGTTCACTGACATTTCATTTGTAGGTTCAAATTTTTTAAGTTTGTTCACTTTCCAGAACATTCACATCTGCCATGAGGGATATATCTCCAGTTTAATTCAAGTGTAGGTATGAGCTAGGCCCAACCTCATGTGAGTGGCTATGATTCTTTCCCAAGAGGGGGTCAAAGAAAAATTGCACCAGACAGAGTTAGAGACAAAGAAGACTTTATTCAAGACTCTTTCAATAGGCCAAAGATACTGAACTCAATTCTGCTGAAACAAAAGGTGGAAGTGCTAGGATAAGCTAGTGAGGAAGTGCTGGCGGGCACTGAGTGGAGCTTGGTCAATGTGATTAAACCATCTGTGTTTGATAATTGTCATTTATCTAAATTAGGCTCCCACCTTCCCACAGAAATTGGGCGATGCGGGTCTGCTATCACTCTTTTAATGATCATGTTTTAAAGGGATGGCTCCCAGGTGCCTGAGAAAAAAATTTCTCTGTTGTAAAACTAGCGAGAGGCTGGGAGAAATTTTACATTTCAAAGGGGCAGAGAAAGAACTGACACTGGCATGCCTTTAAAAGTAAAAAGCTGTGACAAAGTAAGAGAATGACATGGACATATATACACTACCAAACGTAAAATAGATAGCTAGTGGGAAGCAGCCGCATAGCACAGGGAGATCAGCTCGGTGCTTTGTGACCACCTAGAGGGGTGGGATAGGGAGGGTGGGAGGGAGGGAGATGCAAGAAGGAAGAGATATGGGAACATATGTATATGTATAACTGATTCACTTTGTTATAAAGCAGAAACTAACACACCATTGTAAAGCAATTATAATCCAATAAAGATGTTAAAAAAATAAAAGTAAATACTCTAAGAAAAGGGAATACTTGGGGCCCAAAGTAAGGAAGAAATTTGCCTGAATTCTAGTCAAGCTTTGGAGAACATTAAGACTGCCTTGGTCAAGGAGTGGATATATTCCCCTACCCACAGAGTAGGTAGAGGTAGCCCTGCATGTAGCCCTGCAGTTTCTGGAACACAACCATTCAGTCTCTGCCAGAGAAAGTGTTTTATCACTTGCTTCTCACAGAGCAGAGAGCTGGGCCAAACACATATGACAGACCATAGCTCATTCCTCTCCTTGTTACCTGAGATCAATTTAGATAAATGTGTCCTCCACTTAGCTGAGCTAATTGGTATAATTTCATTCCAGAATCTTCCCAGTGAACCACACAGGAGCTACATTTTCAACAGATCAAATACAGAAGGTAAGTTGACTTAATATGATCCAGAACTAAAGGAATTTTGAGGTAAGTTGTAGTCTAACCAGCCAGACCAGAGAATATCTATATGCTTCTTCTAAATCTGCTAGAGTATAAATTTTAATATTTTGCATGGATCTTTCTTTTCTATTTTTCCTCCTTTCTTCCCTCCCTCCCTCCCTTCTTTCCTTCCTTCTGCATTTACCTAGCACCTACTATGTACCAGATGCTCTGCTATGCTCAGGATTCAGTTCAGAATGAGAAATATTATTCTCTTCCCCCTAGTGTTACAGACTTGTGGGAAAACAGACGTTAAACAAGAATTTCAAACACTGTGGAGGTAAAGAAGGAGAAGTGACCAAAACTATGGGAAGGAGGGGTTTGGGTCTAACTTAGTCTTGTGTGTATGTATGTGAGTGTGGGTGAAGAAAGGTGTGATTAGGAATGGTTTTCCTAAGAAAGTGATGTCTGGGCTGAGACTCAAAGGATGAGTAGGCATTAGTCAGGTCCAGACAGGAGGAGGGATTGGTAAAAAAAATTCCTGATAGGTTATCTAACATATAGGAAAGAGCAAGGCTCATTCAAAGAATTTAGAGTGTCTGTTCATGGGAGCACAAAGAGGAGTTAGCAGGAGATGGGGATATGGGCAAAATTCCACCCTAGGAACTCAGCCTAAGGACTACAGGAGATCCTCAAAGTGTTGTAAGGCTATTACTTAATGAGGTCATTCAGCTCTGCCCTCTGGTGGTAAATGACCTGAGTATTTTGGGGGACAAGTCCTCTACTCACCATCACTGAACATGATGGCCAATCAAACTGATTAAAAGAAAAATAAAGCCCACTCATTTATCTTTCTATATGCTCAGTCTGGTTAGAAAGGTTTGAACTAGTTTGTTTGGATTTATTCACATTTATATCACAACTACATCTATAGCGGTTTGAAGATGAGAGCTATAGTTCATGTCATGTTGAAAAGGAGGGTAAAAATAAAACCAGTTAGACTTTCAAGAAATTCTGCCTATGAGTGTATATTTAAAATCAAGATGACATAACTTGAAGGAAATAATTACTTTTTGACATTGTTAGGCTTGAAGTGTGTTTCTCCCCAAGGTTTAATATTATGTGAGACTTTTATGTGCGCATATAGTCTGAACAAGAAACCCACAATTTAAAAAAGTGTATGAAATGTCTTCCCTAGTGTTTATTTGCATTTTTTAGAAAAATCATTAAGTTTATAAAAGCAAGTATCATGTGTCAGTGCTGGAAGCAGAGAAAGTGTGACCTCCTGCCCTTTTGCAACCGACACAGAGGAGCGCATCATAGGAGTAAACCCTTGTCTATGAATATAGACAACTTGAAGTCATATGGTTTAGTGGAGTGAAGCCCCAAATCTCCTTTGCCATTGGTCAAAGCCCTTTCCCCCTCACCATAGATGAGACTCCCTTCTAGAAATTAGAGTTGGTGTTAGATCCAAGAGGTTATAAAATCAGGGACAACTGAGATGTGATAGAGAAAATATTTAACTAGGATTCGTCGGATTAGTCGGTGAATATATCTTGAAGTGTTAATTGCTAAAGTTTTGTATGAGATCTTAAATCTATCACAGGCGAGGCATAAGGGAATGATAACAAATCGAAAGTCACAGAAAAACAATCATAAAGCAGCTCCTGGTTTGTATATATTTTAATCATTTCTTCTATGTACCACTTGTCAAATGTATATATTTGAGGATTTTGAAAGATTTTCGCTGTTTAGTTATAGTATTGGGATTTTTTACAAGGATATTGTTTTGGTGAATCCTCTGTGAAGCACACTTGGGAACGGAGAGCCAGCAGCTCTCCTGATACCTGGTACAGGTTGTTTCTTTTCCTATTGATGGTGGTAGGGTTGTGGTGGTAGTGGTGGTGGTGGTATAGACTGTGCTCCAGCAGAGATGACCTGCAGGCATCTGCTCACCCCAAGTGTCTGGAGTGAATCCTGCTGTGCTGGGTGCTGATCAGCCTTAGGCAGGGCTGAACTCTTCTGAGGCACATTCACAGCCTCTAGCAGCTTCTGCTGTTCCATCTGTCTCCCAATTTTGAGTTCATTTTCTATCTGGGGTCTGGATATGAAACTGCATAATGTGAATAAATGGGGTGATCATTTAACAGGAAGCTACATGTCTTAAGTATTCCTCACAAATATACAAGACTCCTTATTTCCTATCCCCCTCAACATTTTTTTTTTTTTTTTTGCGGTATGTGGGCCTCTCACCGTTGTGGCCTCTCCCGTTGCGGAGCACAGGCTCCGGACGCGCAGGCTCAGCGGCCATGGCTCACGGGCGCAGCCGCTCCGCGGCATGTGGGATCTTCCCGGACCGCGGCACGAACCCGTGTCCCCTGCATCGCCAGGCGGACTCTCAACCACTGCGCCACCAGGGAAGCCCGCCCTCAACATTTTTATACAACATTTCTTTCACAAGATTGTTCTTCACTTCCCAAAAAAGCATTGTTCTAGTCCTATGAAATTTCACAATCGAAACTTATAATAATATTTCTTCCACTCAATAAATTCTGATATTAACAACAAGGGAATATTATTTCAAATTCTACCTATTACAACTTGACAGGAGCTTCAGGAGTGTTATTTTGCATTATATCAGTTAAAATAATTTAATAAGCTAATTGATAGTAAAAAAAAGAAATGCAATAGTATTCATTTAAAAAATTGTACAAAAACATTTTAGAAAATCCTATTTATATTCAGTTAAAATAATTACAGTCTAGAGAGTAAAGCAATTTGATTTGTGTAATGAATTCAAGTGATTGTGTATACCTGATAATAAAACTATAATTCTTTAAAAATAATCCAAAGTTTACCATATAACCAGGGACAGTAGAAAAGCATAATAAAAACAATATTTTCAAAAACATATGTAAACAATCACAACATTACATAAATTAAAATGCTAACTCTATTTACAAAGGTTGAAGAAATGTACGATAATGTAATTTAAGTCAAGTGATGCCAATTATGAGAAATATTTTGGAGGTAATGGCAGCTTTT